GGGGAGGCACGGTTAGCGGGAGAGGAGGGGAGGAGCCGGCGGGCGGCGCGGCGCGAGGGGCAGCCGGGTGGGCGTGGGGACTCGGCGGAGACCGGCTGCAGGCAGGGTCCCGGGCTGGAGTCGGAGAGGAGCGCGGTGGGCGCAGACGTGACGAGGGTGCGAATAGCCGGGCGGCAGGGCGGCCCCGGAAAGCGGGGAGAGACCCTCGCCCCGCCAGGTGGAGCCGGAGCGAGCGCGGCGCGGGCGGAAGGGAGGATGGCGAGCCGGGACCCGGGCGCCGGGGAGCGGTGCTCGCTGAGGCGGCTCCGCCGGATCCGAGGGGAGAGCAGCCAGGCGGAGAGACGGGGCCGGGCGGCCAGCCGCGGGCCCGGGATGTGAGGCAGGGGATGCGGGGTGCGGGGCTGGGCGCGGGGCCGGGCCAGCCTGCGCCGGGGACGGAGCTGCAGGAGGCCGCAGGGCCAGCGCGCCGCCGCCGCAGCCGAGGACCCAGGGTAGGGGTGGACGAGCAGGAGCCATGGTGAGTGCAAGGGGACCTAGGACGGGGGTGGAAGCTGCAAAGTAGCGGCCGAGGCGGGGGTGCAGGAAAGCAATTCTTTGTTGGAAGAGAAATGCGTGTAAAAACTGTGAGTCCTTTTGTCCCCCAAAGTAGGAAATTGCAGAAACCTCTTTCTGTCTTCAAGGAATTTTGAATCCCGCTTCCACCTTTCATTGCTTTTAATTCGACTCTCCGTCCACTTTGAATTGGCTTCGTTCATGGGTGAAGGCTGAAGTGTCAGTTCTGAGAACCTGCATTTCCCTGATGTGGGGATCACAGGAAATGGACCGGGTTTATTTACAGTACCTGTGAAATGAGATAGTTGAGGTGTTGTAGCGGTGCCTTGCCTGGCAACGCGAGGCAGGGTGCTTTATGGCCATCGTTTTCGTTTTCGACGGACAGCCCACTTTTGTTGTAATGAGATGAGAATCTTTTTGTTTGCATTAGTCATCCAGATTTCTGCTTAATTGTTTGCGGCGACTGCATCATATTGAGAGATCATTTCACAGAAAGGCAAATAAACAGCCAGGGAAGTTTATTGAGAGAGCGATTTAAATCTCTCTCGCCGAGGGCGCTGAGGGCAAGGAGTTCCTAAGCTGCCTTTAGCCTTGTATAGGACTTTTCATGCTGGAGTAAGTAACTCACCAGTTTAATGAAGTGAAATAAAGAAAGGGAAGCCTGTAGCACTGTGGAGAAGTTTAAAGTGGTGGACTTATCTTTTAGATTAAATAATGGATTTCTGAAAATTTCCCTTGTAATATCCGTAGCTAATGTTGAACTGGAGTCTTGGACAGCTCCACGGTCTCCCTTGCTTTCTTGTGTTTGTTTTTTTGTTTTTTGTTTTTTTTTTTTTTGTTTTTGTTTTTTGGTACTGAGTATCGAAATTGGGACCTTGCGCTTGCTAGCCAGGCGCTTGTACCACTGAGCTATATCCCCAGCGCTTTCCTTGCTTTCTGACTGAGTAAAGAAGATCATGTCAACATTAATTTTCTAGAAGCTTTGGATTTTAAGACACTTTTGGAAAGGAAAAGGAAGATAAGAAATTTGGGACAAAATTCAGGTTATTTTAGTAATTTTAGTCCTGAAGCTTTTACATTTAGCTAAGAAGGTGCGTGAATATATATATTTGGTGGTGCCGAAGGATGGTGTATAATTTACTTAGGAAAAAATGCAAAACTGTTCTTGAAATCATATTTGGTGTTATTTCATGAGTATACATTCAGATATACAAAGATAACTCTCTTCCCCAATTTGTGTAAGGGCTTTGAAAGTAGCCCATTGGCAGAGCACTTAGCTAGGATACACAAGGCCTTTGGTTTGATTTCTGGCACCACAAGATAAAAACAAGACCCAAAAGAAAGATGTGAAATGTTTAGAAATTAAAAAAACAAACAAACAAAAATATAAAACGAAGCTTTATTACAAAGTTGTGTAACTTTCGGGTTGCTACTGCTTTGTGGCTATAAAAATACTAAAAAATTAAATTATGGCCTTTGTAAGAGCTAGCAAACATTTGGCTTTGATTTATGGCTGTCAGAAACATTGTTTATTAGCATATTTGATTTTAGAGTCTTAAGTCTGGAATTTAGCTGTTAGTGACATAGTATTTAGTTCATGGTTTGTTTTCTGTTTTTGTTTTTGTTTTTGTTTTTGTTTGAGACAGGGTCTCACTATGTAATTCAGGCCGGCTTTGAACTCAGTATGTAGCCCAGGTTGGACTTGAACTCATAGAGATCCTCCTGTCTCTGGCTCCTGAGTGCTGGGATTGTAAGTGTGCACCACCATGCTGGCTAGAGAGGATTTTTAAAAGCTGCTGTTTTTGCTGCTAAATTTTCAGATGATTCATTAGAAGATGTTAACTGTCAAGATGAAGAATAACTTTGGCACAAGGCCTCTGTTTCTGTGAGTTGTATGTGAGTGTTCCTTTCCTTTGTAGATGTGTGGGCTTGGCATTAGTAGGTTAGACTCTGTGTATGGTATTGGTGTCTTTATAATTAATTGTTTTAAAATTTGTAAGACATTTGATATCAGCAAAGAAGAAAATATAAACTGTAAGATCAACCACAATGAAAAGAAAGTCCATCCCAGAGAAAGTTCATTAGGTCCTCAGTTTTGTGTCTGTGTGCTACTATGCTGTGCTAAGCCACTGATTATTATTGTGAATGGTTATTTCTTAGTTGGTTTTTCTAACAGTGAAAATGGATACTCTTTTAATCCAGATAATACTGCCTATAAGGATGCCCATGAAAATATAAGCTATATTTTGTTTTGTTCATCAAATAGAATTTTACTTGACTTTATTTTAGTTATAATCTTATTTGCCAAGCAAAAAAGTTTGGTTTATTTTCAAATTTAAATGAAAAGGTTGTATGTAATTAAATGTTCTGGTTAATTGTAGTCTTTGGATGGGATGAGACCCTGAAAAGACCTCTATAGTTTACCACTAAAACCATCCCAGGTAGATCCAAATCTGTCCTATTTCCTTACAAGTCTAAAGTGGCAATGTGACAACCTTTGTAGATAATCTCTTCCAGCATTTAATTATTTTTTCCTATCAAGATAGTGTGTCTTCTGTCTGAACAGCATAAATTTAATGCTATATTTGTATTTGTTTCCTCTTCCCAATCTCCCCGTTGTCAATTTTTTATTATAAAAGTCTGTTTACTTTTTACTTAGTATTTATAAAACCGTAGTTCTGCATACACTTAATGATAATAGCTAACCTGTGTATGTGTAATGCTTTAATGCCAGACCCTATTATAAGCACTTTACAAGTTGTAACTCATTATTTCTCACATCAGTTCTACAAGGTAGGTGCTATTACTATGTGAAGAGATAGGGTCCTTGAGGTCAAATGACTTGCCAAACATTATACTTCAGACATGTCTACAACTACTTGTTTGCAGGTTGATGACCATTTAATGTGAACACTATTTGTGTCAAGTATTAGTCCAGGGATACGTTCAGTCTTGATTTCATTTTATTATGGCACTGAGGGTGAAATCCAGGGTGTTGTATCTGCTGAGCATGTGGCCTACCATGCAGCTACACCCCCAGCCCCTTAGTCTTTACTTTAGTTCAGAAGTGGACTTCTGCCAAGTGCTGGGGCTGAGTGTCCGGCCTCGGCCTTTTGCTGGCCCAGTCTGTTTTCTAGAGTCCTCTCCACATGACTGCTGTGGCCAGCCTTACTTCTCTCCAGGGTTACTAGTGCTGGTTTAATTCATTCTTAATAGGTGTTGTTTTGCCAGCCTTTAAATTATCACTGCGGTTCTGATCTTAACCTTTCTCCCTGTGTAAGCTGGGGGCCTGGACAAACACCTGAGGGTCATGTATAATGTGCAGATTACAGCAAGTTTCTTACATGCTTCTATTTTTTTTTATTCCAAAATTGTATTTATAAAATAAAGCAACCCTCAAACAATTTAAAAATGCCTTATTGAGCTGCACAGTGCCTATCTACTCTTGAAGCCCTGTGCTTATATTTTCTGATAGGGTTGCAGCTGAAAGATTATTGCCATTGAGGAAAAGTGGAGCTTAGATTTCAAAGCAGATGTCCATAAGCAAAGTTCATTCAGAACCTTACTGAGTTTTTACTGTCTTCTCTTTCTCCATGCCTAAGTAATTTATGGTACTGTACGTTTACTCATGCTTTAATTTGGTTAAATAGATCAGTATACTCTTTTTTAAAAAAAATTTCTAGATGTTCAAATTAGCTAAGTGTGTGAATTGTTTGAACCTCAAAACACCCCTAAAAGGGAGCTTCTGTTGTTAATACTCTGGTTTGATGACTTGATTTTATTACAATTTTTTAAACTTGAGAAAATTTGTAAAAATGAAGGAACTGTTACCCTTAAAGATATCACATTTTCACTGTGCTCCATTTGCTTTATCATTTTCTTTTACTTGTGCGTATTTAAATATGTAAAATTGGAGAAAATACATATGAAGACCTCAGTTTTTAAAAAGAAAAGGAGTGGCTCACGCCTGTAATCCCAGCACTGGGGAGGCTGAAGCAGGAGGATTGTTGTGAGTTTGAGACCAGCCTGGGCTACAAAGTGAGCTCAAGGCCAGCCTGAACTGTGTAGTGAGACCCTGTCTCAAAAAGTCAGGTTTAGTGTAAGTCTGATTTTAGTCAGCTTAAAGCAAGGGAATGTCAAGACTTGGGTGAATTATTTTGTTGTATAGTCTTCTTTCTCTCTTTAGTATATTCTTTTTTTTTTTTTTTTTCAGTATGGGGGATCGAACTCATGACCTCACGCTTGCCAGGCAGGCGCTTACGCCACTGAGCTATATCCCCAGCCCTCTCTTTAGTATAATCCGAGAAAGATTCTTTCCCCCGTGAATGATGGGTGGGTGGGGCCCTCTCGTCAGCAAAAATTGTGTTGTCATTTACCTTCTGCCAAGAACCTCGCCACACCAGCGTGGTGCGTCCTCAGGACACACTGGCCGTTGATGTATGGGTGACCATTGTGATAAACAGGAGACACAGGGCTTTTCCACACCTCGACCAAGACATTTAGGTGGAATCTGTGATTTGATGATCTTTATGTGGCTTCAGGGAGCTAGGAAAGATCAAAGTGCAGCTGTACGGCTTTAAGAATGTTGCTTAGACCTAGGTACACATTAACAAGCATCTCTGTAAAATGAATTCATAAATTTGCTGAGTCAAAATGTACGTATATTTTATTTTTTAATAATGCAGCCACTTGCTTTACAAAAAAAGCGTGTTGGTTAGGACTGATAGAAACAAATGTGCCTTATGCTAAAAGGATCAATAGAAGTATTAACATTTCCTTACCTCCCCCAAAGTAAACCTAATTTTGATCTTGGTCATATAAGGAAATTAATTGATCCCGCCATCCCCAGTCATCTCCGGTCTCCATTGAACTGAGCAGCCTATCCATGTGATAAAGGCAAAGCCTGTAAAAAAGCCTGTCCAATGTAAGTGAAAAGAATATTAGCTGTATTCTGACAAATGTAAG